CTCTAGTATACTTGCGATTGGATTTTTAGCCATTTTCGTAGATTGATCTACAAAATGACAAACGAAGCAGAAAATAGTTAGACTATGAAATTTATATTCATTTAACATTAGGTCTTTAATATTAAATGTCTCCCACTATATTAATTAAAACCCATTTTAATTATGAAAATCTAATTTTTCATAGTGGGCTTGAAGTCCAATAAAAATATTCCATATCCCAATTTTATGAGTACACATGGAACACTTATATCGGTAGTCAACTTTTGACAATTGTATCGCTATAGAACCTTCAAGATATTTTGCCTCACATTTCCTTATATACCTCAATTTTATGACCGTATATATTACTCAGTGTCAAATCAAACCCATCAAACATTCATGATAACGGCCCACCAGAGTGTCCCACGACTCATGGTCAACACAAAGAGGAATCCGTTTCATGAGTATCTTTATACTTAGTAGGGATCACAACTATCGACACAAAACCACCCCACGACTCATGGTCAGTGATAAAGCATCGTAGCATCTCATGTCGTCTACTTTTGATGGAAAGCCTGGATTAATAAGTTCTAACTTATTTCTATTCATTATTGATTTGATATGAATTAATCTCATTAATTCTTTAAGGTTCCTTAGATCTCATCGATTACCATCTTTACGTTTATTTACCGTTTCATCCATCGCATGAATCACAAACATAAATAAACCTAACATACATCTAATGCATACGTTCGGTGGATGATCATGACCTTGCCTATGCGATCCATTCGAGCCAAAATGGATCTATGCCTATGCACGTGATAAAATAAATAAATAGAACTACTTCTATTACAGCCTTCGAGTTTTATAACTTGTAAAATTACCCACACAAGCGTGGGCCTTTTGCATCGAACGGTCTCCACCTAGATCTAATCTCTAACGATACAAGAATTTAAAATTTTACAAATCATAACTCAAGAGACTCGCAGGTCTCGATAAATTACATTCATTCAATCTTATTGAAAAATTAAACCATTCAATCATATTGAATTAAAAGGCAACCATTCAATCACATTGCATAATAAAATAGACATTCAATCATATTGAATATGAAGCTCATGATCATCCCATTCATCACATGAATTAAAACATAATAAAAAAAAATTATTAAGTCACACGACCAGTGTGAAAAAGTCACACGACCAGTGTGAGTCCACACGACCCGTGTGAAAAATCCGTAAGAAAAAATCAAAATTTTCCTTAAGTCACACGACCCGTGTGGCTCAAGACACGGGTCGTGTGTCTCCACACGACTCGTGTGACTATGTCACACGACTCGTGTGAAAATCACGAACCAAAAACAAGTTTTTCTTTATACTCATACGACCCGTGTGGCTCATGGACACGGCTCGTGTGAGTCCACACGACCAGTGTGACTTAGTCACACGACCCGTGTGGCTAAAAAAAATAAAAAACGAATTTTTTTTATTTGTTTTGATAATTAATATGTTTATCATATAAACATTTAATTATCATATAATCTTAAACAAATCAAAATCTATTTTTAAAGATGATAACCGTGGCTCTGATACCACTGTTGGGTTCGCCTGTACCTTACGGGCTATACGCAGCGGAATTTAAAATTTTTCAAAACAAGTATTTAACACTTAAATACTTAACCCGTATATACATATGGCGAATTTACAAATCGTCGTCTTTAAAAACATGTAATAATACAAATTTTGATTTGTTACAAGTAATATTAGAAATTACAAGTAATATCAAATATTACCTTATAACTCTAACTCCTTCTTCTTGATGGTGGTTGAGGAAATTGGTTCCCGGATTAATAACGAACACTTCGGCTTGCTCGCTTTTAGGAATCCACTTGTCTTCCCTCTAAACGTATCCATCGTTTGCTTCCGACTACGAGATGACTCCTTCGCTAGTAGGAACTCACTCGATTTATAACTTAGT